ACAATTGTTTGATTGGTAGCACGGAAATATACTGTATGGAACATCAATATATGGCTAACAAATGTTTTCCAAATTTTTAGATATTAGGGGTTTTGATTTTTTTTAATATGTCTCCTGCTTTATGGAATGCACTGATATGTGATTTTCAGGTCAATAGATGGATTTCATTTTCAAATTAAATTCAGTCAATTCTCTCTGTAGCTTAAAAAGTAATTGTCGTAAAATTGTGAAGCGTATAGAATATAATTACTATTAATTAACAAGCCAGCCAACCAACTAACTATCTCCATGGAGTTGAGCCATTATTAAAATATTAGTATTTACTTAGTCAAGAAATTTCTTGCACTTTATAGAACTATAATTTAATTGCCGTCTTCAGAAAATGCTTCTCTGATCTCAGTCCTGAGCTAGATTAATCCAGTCTACACCCTCACCTCTTGTTTCTTTATGATCCATTTTCATATTATCCTCTCATTTACTTCGGCGCCCATTAATTGGTCTTTCGTTTTCCTATCAAGGTTTTGAAAGACTTTCTCTTCTTTATCATACGTTCTACAGCTCCTCCTCCTAGACATCATACTAATAATATTTGGTCAAAAACATAAATTTTGAAGCTCTTTATTATGCAGTTTTCTCAGCCTCCTCTTACACCTGCCCTCTTAGTTTCCAATATTCTCCTCAGAGCCCTGTTTTCAAATGCCCTTTGTCCATTTCCTTCCATTAATGTGAGACGCCAAACTTGATACCTGCACAAAACAACATGCAAAATTATATTGTTGCATATTTAAGTTTACGGATATTGTAAAGAAGAGAAGCAACATTGAACATAGTAGCAGCAAGCACCGCCATTAATTACCTCGTTAATATATTTTTAATTTGTTAGTGACTTTCCCAGATACGTTTATTTTAATTTTTTTCCAAGGGAGTAAAGCGCGGCCGGCGCGTAGGGCTGACAACCTTACCGCCATCTTTGAGCCGATTGTCTAGACAATGTGGAACCCTCAACGTCTCACAAACCTATGGGCCTTCACAGCCTGGTACGGGTATAGCTTTACTTTTTTATCTATTAGTTGTTATTATGTCGAGATTTATTCTGCGTTTTTGTGCCAAAATGTCAAAGTACACTTAGTTTTCGCATTGTTTAATTCTAGACCAACCATCTTGCTAGAGTCACTTATATCTTGCGTGTTTTTCTCAATTGTATTTACATTTCCCACCAAACGTTAACCGCATCATCATCAGATTCATACAATTTCAATTCCTCCTAGTTTTCTTGGATCTCCTAACTGTAGTATCCTGAAGAAAGGTTGAAAGGAATGGAGACAAACTATTTCCTATATTGTTTATATTAAACAATTTAAATAGATATTTGATGAAACAGAAAATTTAGGAGGAAATAAATATTAGTTAACTGACGTAAGTTACATATAAATTAGACTCAAAACATTAAGTACTAATATTCCTCCAAACTTTTCATCCAGAATCATAAAGTACATCGGATGTCGTACTCGGTTAGACGGCCAGATTAAGACACAGACGAAAGAACAAGAACTCATGTTAAGCATTTCTATACCATACACACACGGCACCTCAGAATCGATCCCGGTCTTTAGGTTTCCTGTTTGAATTGATGCTGGCACCGGCTTTGGCGAGCCTTATCTTCTCTTTCACTCACCAGGAACGCGACTGTGTCGGGATGATGTTTTCCCGTCAGACAACAGCAGTAGCTGTCAGAAGTTCTCTGTGACTTGGACGTATGAGTGTGCTTGCACAGATTTCAATTCACGCCCGGTAACACATCATTACATATGCATGGACATACTTCACTGTTATGGCGCAAGAGTCTTCTGTCGGCAATTGTAAGGTGGTGTATATTAGTACTTCTGTTGTTGATCCGAGACGGGAATTATACTTTCTGGTGTATGACGCGCACTTTCCTCCTCGAGAATATCCCTAAAATGATTTCAAGTCTTTTACAGACCGCGCCATAGCTCAAGCGGTTAGTCGCTGGCTTCTCACCGCGGCGGCCCGGGTTCGATCCCGGGTCTGATCAAGTTGGATTTATGGTGAACAAAGTGGCGCTGGGGCAGGTTTCCTCCAAGTGCTTCGGTTTCCCCTGCCAATCTTCATTCCACCAATTGCTCCACAATCACCCTCACTTATCATCTGGGGCTGGTACAATAGGCCAGAAGTGGCCGCAGTACAAGGGACTTCGTCCCACCCCACTAGCAATAATAAAGTCTTTTACAAATAAGGTTTACGATGTAAATATAGTGAACATTTTCTTCAAAATCACTGCATCTCACGTACATGTAGGATTTCAGTGAGAATTCCTGACGAAGAAGCGCGTCTGGTAGACCGGCAACTGTGGCAGTTGAAATTTGTTTCGTTGTTGCCCTTAATGACGGTTTAATATATTTTAAATTTTAAGAAAAATACGAAGATTATTAATTGTAGATAGGTGTGCCCGACACAGATATTAAAATTTAAGAACTAACGTGTCTCTATAAAATTAAGAAGCAGATTGCCTGTCACAAGGGCACGGCACCTTCTCAGATTTCGTAAAGGAGAGGCGGAGGTGAGATACGGACAGTCGCTGCGAATCTAATGAATAAGCAACCCAGTATATATATCATCCTTCTTAGGGACTGGGAGGGCATATGTCAACCTCTCAGTAAAAATTAAGCGGAAATTTTCCTCGGATATTCCGCTAAATCTCTCAGATATGGAAGTCGATTGGATTCGAAGGTATTTTTAAAATGGAAAAGAAAATTTAAAAGAGGTTTGGATCTTAAAACGAATTAGATTGCGAGACTGTATCTCTCTTATTCAGTAGAGAGGCCATTGGGAAGCTCCTGTGAACACGACAATGAATCTTTGAGCTCTATAAAAGAAGGAGCGTTTCTTGGTTAGATGAGTGACTTGTAGTTTCCCCGTGTAAGTATTTACTTTATGTTAGGTATCTACATCAAGGTCAGTAATGTTTATTTTTTTAATATTCTCCGTCATTTTGAATATTTAACTAGATAAGGTGCAACGTATTTCCTGAAAATTAAATGTTATGTTACCTGTTGTACGGTTAGCTTCAAAACTATGGCTTTTCTTCTGGAATAAATGGGCATCAAGTCGAACGAGGAGTACAAAATGGAAGATGAAACTTTTATTATATATGTATATTTCATTGAAGTACAAGTTTGCGCTTTTCGTATTATTAGAGTAAGATAAAATACGACTAGCCTGTGCTATATCTGTCGAAAGAAATCGCGCTCAAGTACACAGCCGAAACGTGAAGGAAGTTAGAAATGAAGATAACAAGACGCCACAGCGCACATTAATCTATGTGTGAGGGAGCTGGATCCACGCCTCAGACATTTCCTCGTGATAGGAAAAGTTGACTATCGCGTCTGAACAGAGCGTGCGCTGTAGGCATCTCAATCCGTGGCGAAACGGGAAATATCTGGTAGGGTACTGCACATCTACTCCCCCGAAACAATTCCCATTGCTTTCACTTCATTTCTTATTACTTGATTCATTCTGCGAATTTCAGATATTGTAACAGTAGTGCGTGTCCTGTAGAACACTTATGATGAATTGACCGAGAATACTATAGTGAGCTGTATTATTGGATTGAGATACATTACTAGAGTCGCAATCTCGAGGTTCCATTGTATTGTTTACTTACTTATTGAAAACATAGATTTAAAAAGATAGTTGCGGTTGAATAGCTTCCAGTCCTATAAAGTATTCATGTGGTACAAAGTTCGAAACCTGGTCCGGAGACACGTCTGTAATTACTAAAAATTTTCATATGGTTTCTCAGTTTCCCTAGACAAATAATACATTAAAGAATCATTTCCTTCCGAAATCTTTCAAATCACAATTCACAAAACCATCTTATAAAACTACTACTCGACGGGATGCATGTAATCTATGTAGTTCAAAACACAAATAACTCGAGAATAATTGGGATAAAATTTAAAATTACGAAGTTTTTAGTCTGCTAACTTTGTGGAAATTCATTTTTGTTTCTGGCGAAAATTTAAATCTATTAATTTGGGAAAGAGTGGTGAAGTAATTTGCATACATTTCTTATCCTCTCAAATTAAAACCCTTTATCCGTTTTATTTTTAATTATTTTGGGATAAAACTTATGACTCGCATTACAATTTTTAGATTTATGTTTGAAGAATTGCACTAATCATACAGGAATTATCTTTAAGACCCCACATGAGGTTAGAATACCTCACCGTAGCCCTGCCATTCGTAGAGGGTGACGGAAATGGAACCCAGTGCCTGAGGTATAACTTGGCCACGCTGCCACTGAGGGACATGAATGCAGAGACCTGGTCCTCCAGGTTGGGGTTTGGAAGCAAAGCTGATGATATTGTTCTGCGAAAAAATTACTATTGCAAAATCCAAAGAAGTGAAATCAGGATGAAATCTGAGAGACTCTGTTTTGCTCATAATGATAAATATTTCAGAGTGGTTATTTGTTATTTAAATATTCTATTATTCTTGAAACACGAATGTAAAATGTTCTTAGAGTTTGGGATGTCTATATCACGTTAAGTGAATGGATAAGTAAGAGAGAGTGAGATGGGCGGAGCATGTAACACGCATGGGAAATAATAGGATTGCATATAGATATATGATGGTAAAGCCAGAAGGAAAGAGGCCATTAGGAAGAACTAGACGTATGTGAGGGGACCGTATTAAAATGGATCTTAGAAAAATAGGACGGATGGTATGGATTAAATTGATCTTGCTCAAGGTAGGGACCAGTGGAGGGCCGTTGTGAACACGGTAATGAACCTTCGGGTTCCATAAAATATTGAGAAATTTTTAAGTAGCTGAGCGACTGGTGGCTTATCAAGAAGGACCCAGTTCCGTGGAATTAATTAGTTACGTGTATATTCCGTTTACACATACTCGTACAGTAATTCAGACATCATTTATATCTTGTCCTTTAAATGAAAACTTTAGAAATCTGTATTTTTCAGTGCCTAGTGTGGAGGGCCCAGTATTCAACATTACAAGGGTGAATCGACTGCATATGGGCGCGTATCTCTGCATCGCGACAAATGGTGTTCCGCCTACCGTGAGCAAGAGGATTATGCTCATCGTACACTGTAAGTTCTTGTCTGCCTTGGAACAGAATTCCGCTACCTGCAAGTTGATAGGTGAAATTCTTGAGTTTCTATTCGTCACAGATTTTCCCATTTAGAGTCAAAGAAATATGCTTTATTTTATAACTGTGCGGTCTATCCACACAGCATTATTCGCTCACCTAACTACAGTGCTCCATAATGTATCTTCTTCAAGCAGAAAGGAAATAAATGTATATTTCATGTAGGATTTGAGGTTCCCACAGCAGTGGCCACAAAGAATACGATATTCTTGCTTGTCACCTGCTCACACGCTGGTATCTTGCTCTGCTTATTCTGTCCTGAAGATGGAGCCGACATGTTCCTCCGGAATATCTTTGACTTTCAACGGAAGACGTGGCGTTATTTCCCAGAAGATAGTACCATACAAATATATATTTCAATTGACTGGAATATTTTTCTTTTGCATAACTGCTGAAAAGGGATATTTAAAATATTAAAAATATACGTAGATACATTTTAAATTTATATTCCAAATTTCACTTAGTGATCATAATATTATTTCACTAACAGGAATTCTGACTGCTGTGTTGCTGTTATTAAAGACGGAGTGCTGAAAGCACACACGACGGCCAGTCGTTGACGGAATTATATTTTATTTTTTTTTTTATTGGTAGTGGGGTGGGACTAAGTCCTTTGCCCTGCGGCCACTTCTGGCCTATTGTACCAGCCCCACATGATAGGCGAGGGTGATTATGGAGCAATTGGTGGAATGAAGATTGGCAGGGGAAACCGAAGTACTGGGAGAAACCTACTCCATCGCCACTTTGTCCACCACAAATCCTACTTGACCAGAACCTGGATCGAACCCGGGCCGACGCGATGGGAAGCCAGAGAATAACCGCTTGAGCTATGGCGCGGACCTATGGAATTATATTAGTATTCGTGAAATATGATCAGGATTTAAAAACTTATTAGAAACTCACGTACACACATGCTCGAGCGAGATGGCGTCATAATTTTATAACTGTCTAAAAACGTTGGTTAGGTGTGGGAAAAAGAGGGTTCATTATGCTGCAGTTATTTGCTATAAAGCACAAATCAGGCGTTCTAAAAATATTCTCCATAGCATTTCCCACTAGTTTACGTGTATAGTGTTTCAGAAAGATGTTGTTGTACTAAAATTAAGTGGCACTTTCTTAATTCGATATGCCTAGGCTACTGGTTTGCATAGTTTGCAGCTCTTCGCTGGAACGATATTCTCAGATCCTCTGATGAGACCTCCAGTAAATAAACACCGAAAAAATCTAACTTAATTTTCGAGTTAGACTTAAAATTTCAGTTTCTATGTAGATCGGGGATATCTCAGTCATCATAACGACTAGACCACGGCCTGGACGATCGGGGTTATACTCTTGGCAAGAAGAAGGGATTTTTCTCTTCTCCACAGGGTTCATACAGGCTATGGGACCCGCACAGCCTTCTATCCAATGAGAAACGTAGAATCTATCCTGCAACTTAAAGCGGTAGGAGCGTGAGGCTCACACTCCCATCTAGTGCTGAGTTCAGGAATGGCGGAGCTGCACCTCCAATACCCAATACGGCTTCATATCATAATGTTTAATAGTATAAAGAGGTACAGGAAATATTTTAGTATTTACTGATAAAATTTTCTCTAGCTCTCAGCTGTGTGAGTTATTTAAAAATTTTCCGACCTTTCAGGGACGATCACTGTCCCCGTCATCAAGGTATGATCATCAGACCCTTATCCCTGACACGTCGACAATTCTTAACCAATTGATGTAGCTGACAGCCCCAAGAATTTGCCACCGCGGCGGCCCGGGTTCGATTCTAGGTCAGGTCATGTGGGATTTGTGGTGGACAAAGTCGCTCTGGGTCATGTTTTCTCCTAGTACTTTGGCTTCTCCTGCCAATTTTCATTCCACCGACTGCTCCACACTCATCTATCATCCGAGGCTGGTATAATAGGCCAGTTAGGGGCCAATGTACCAAGTGTACTCAGTCTCACCACATCCCAAGTAATTAAAAGACTAAAACTAGCCCCAGAATTTGTTTTAGCCGCCATGAGAACACCAAAGCTGTAGCTTTTAATGTTTACAAATCACCTGATGCTTACTCACCTGACAAGTATGCGGCTAGTAAGAAATAAGAGTAAGCCGCGACAGATTCTTAACACGTCCTTCCGACTAGCGACCCATAACTATTTGCCTGTAAGCGATAACTTCATAACACATTCCACATGTAAAGAGTTCACTGTAGGTACAGTTCTTTCATTATTGACTGCAGTTCCTCCAATGATCTGGATCCAGAATCAGCTGGTGGGAGCACAAGAAGGCCAGCAGATGACACTTGAATGCCATTCAGAGGCATACCCAAAATCAATCAACTACTGGACTAGGGGCCAAGGCGAAATCATCGCACAAGGTAAGATAAGCTGAAATGCGAGACAGCGGTTTGCCGACTGGCGTAAGAGTAGATTCAAAATCTTCTTGATTAATGCAGAGTTCAGGATTTATAATTTAGCACTGAAAGCCATGTGACGAATAGGTTTAAGTTTTCTGCGAATGTTCCTTTTGTATCAATGGTTCTGAGTCTGTGTGTCAAGTCATGATGGTCTGTAAGATTACATTTATTTTCAGTTTCTTATGCAATTTGTTCATGGATTACATGCAGTGAACCTATATATATGGAAGGTGATGTTTACTGATAATTCCAAGTGCCAAAATTCGAAAACTAGTGCAGGGGCTTCAATGAAATTTGGAATGAGGCATCTGTAGTCAATTATTATGGAGACTTATTGTCTAACATTGCCTCAGTATGACTCCTAAAATTTATCTTTATCGTTTTCCATAAAGGGCTATCCACATTGCAAAAATCTGTATACGTAAGGCCTACATGACATTTAATATACACGTAGACCTAATTAAGGGAAATAACTTTCATTTAAAACGTTCTTAATACCGTGGACATTCAACAAATTATAAGCGATATAATTTATGAGTATTCAGTGTGATAAACAGTGGTAAAATTCATAATTAAATAATGTATTTGCATATGTAATGAATTCAAGGCCATTGGAATGTGCAAAGATTGTAAAACAGTCGCTTTGGAAGTATGTATACTGCACTTGATTTCACATCTCTTCAAGTGAAAACTTTTCTTAAACTGTCTTCTCATGTTTCATACAATGGAATCAATTATAGGCCGCGCCATAGCTCAAGCGGTGAGTCGCTGGCTTCTCACCGCGGCGGCCTGGGTTCGATCCCGATTCTGGTCAAGTGGGATTTGTGGTGGACAAAGTGGCGCTGGGGCAGGTTTACTCCGAGTACTTCGGTTTCCCCTGCCAATCTTCATTCCACCAATTGCTCCACAATCACCCTCACCTATCATCTAGGGCTAGTACAATAGGCCAGATATGGCTGCAGTATAAGGGACTTAGTCCCACCCCATTAGCATTAAAAAAACGAAACCAAAAATAATCACGCAAAATTACAGGCCGACAACAATCAGTGCCTAACGTAAATACGGTGTTCAGGACTTAATTGGCTAGAAGAAGCCAAGTGTGCGGACTGCAGTCGAGAATCATGTTAGCTCGTATCCTTCTCGTAATGGAGAATAACGTGACACCTTGGTGGCACAAACTGGAATTCGATTACATTTTCTCCTCTCCTGGATGAGATGAAGCAGTAAAACATGATGGCCTAACATTTTACGATCAAAAACTTCATTTGATTTTATGATACAGCTCAAGATAGAATTTCAGTGACGCTAGACTGGTGGTAGGTTACACAGTATCGACCTTTTTTCTTTCATTATATATTTGTATACAAGTTGGTAACACATAATCCCAGTTTTTCCGAAAAAGACTTTGTACAGAGTGAAGAAATTTTGTTACCTGACAGCGAGACCTTATTTCACTCTTATAATAATGGTTTACAAGTATATATTATTTGCTACTGTGGACAGGTGTTGCAGCTGACATAGGAGAACATGAAAAAAATCTGTTTTATGTTAAATAAATTCTACTGGTGCCACACGCAAAAGGAAGCAATTGTCTGTTATAGTGTACAAATCCTACAGCTGTATTTCTGGAGAAGCTATGCTTTGCATTACAGTGGCAGATCTTAATACTTGCGTACTAAAGAGAAGGGAAAGGCATACCTCGGGGATATTGTAGGTTCGGCTCCAGATCACCGCAAGAAAGTGAGCCACACGAATGTTCATATGAAAATTATGTTTACACTACACTGTTGTCTATTAAGTGAGTAATAGCATTATGTCTGAAAGCAATATACATACGTTAATTACAAATATTGTATTGCTGAAAATGCTAAACAACACCTGAGCTTCCAGTCAGTCGTTATCTTTATGCTGATGGAGGGTCTTTACTCTATGTTGATGGCTGCTAACTGATCAGGGTGATGGTTTCTGATGGTTGGGGTTGCTGGAGAAATTTCTTAAAATAAGACAACAAGAAATGTGCCGAATCGATTTACTCTTCCTTTCACGAAAGATTTCTCTGTAGTGTGCGATCCTGTTTGATAGCATTTTACCCACAATAGAAATTCTTTCAAAATTGGAGTCCGTCCTCTCAAAACCTGCCGCTGCTTTATCAATTTACGTAATATTCTAAATCTTTTGTTGTCATTTCGACAGTGTTCACAGCATCTTCACCAGAAGTATATTCAATCTCAAGAAACCACTTTCTTTGCTCATCCATAAGAAGTAACTCCTCATCCATTAAATTTTTATCGTGGATTTGCAGCAATTCTGTCACAACTTGAGGCCTCATTGTAGTTCCCTTGCTACCTCGACCACATCTGCAGTTACTTCCTCCACTGAAGTCTTCATCCCCTCAGTCATCCATGAGGACTGGAATCAAATTCTTCCAAACGTATGCTAAATGTTGATATTTTGACCTCTTCCAATGAATCACGTTTTAACTTACTTTGCCTAGAACCATCAGAGGCATCACTCTTTATGGCAACTATAACATACGAAATATATTTATTAAATAATAAGATCTGAAAGTCGAAATTACTCCTTGACCTTCAATTTGTAAAAAAAAGTCTACGAAGCATAATATAGCAAAGCGCAGTGACACGAGGTACGCCTGGATAATCTTTATTGTAGTGGACAGATCCGGTTGCTGGTGTTCTAGAGAAGGCACATCCTGTGTTACAGCGACAGGTCCTACCGCTGTCATTCGAGAAATATACCTATAATATACATTATGTTGGGATTATCCCACTGCTGACTTACAGGAGTGAAGCTGTATTTTGTCTTATTATGCACAGATCTTAAGCTTCCACGAGAGAAGAAAGATTATATTTTGTGTTGTAGTGGACAAATCCTACTGATGGCATACGGAAAAAGAAACTATTATTGTGGACGCTTTCTGCAGGTAATATTCGAGAATAGGAACTATAATTTGTGTTGTGTTCGAGATTTTCCACAGCTGACTTACAGGAGAGGAGTTGTGTTCTGTGTTATAATGGGCAGTTTTTACTGCTGGCACAAGAGGAGAGAAGCTGTATTCTGATTTATAGCGGACAATTCTTTCTGATGATATGTGAAAAAACTATATTTATGGTTCAGGTGGACAGGTCTCACTGGTAGCGTGGAAGAAGAGAAGACGTATTCTGTGTTATAGTTGGTAGGTCTTGCTGTTAACGTTGTAGAACAAAAGCTATATTTTATATTAGTTTCGACAGGTCCTTCTGGTGCCTTAAGAGAAGGGAAGGTATATTCTGTGTTACGATGGACAGGTACTGCTGATAGCATATGAGAACAGATCATGTATTCTGTCTTTATTTGAAGAGGTTCTGCTGCTGGCATGAGAGAAGAGGGACAGTATTCTGTGTCAACTCTCGAAAATAAATTACCTTTAAACCCCCATTCTTGCAGTATCTTAGGGGATCACAAGAGACAGAGTTAACTTCTGGCTCCATGCATACATGTAAACTCATATTCAGAAATTGAATAATTCTGAACAGATTTAACATATTTAGATTTTCGTTGTAAAGGAATTTGATATCACTCTGTAATATGCTGTGAGTCAGAGTAGCGCAGTCCGTATTGCGACTGCCTACGGGCTGGATGACCAAGGGGCCGGAGTTCGAGCCCCGGTATGGTCAGAATTTTCTCCTCACCATGTCGTCAAAACCGGCTCTAGGGTCCACTCAACCTCCTATCCAATGGGTACCGGGAGAACCTTCTCCGGGGTCAAAACGGCATGGGCGTGAAGCTGAGCACTCACCTCCAGCTACTGCTGAGGTAAAGAAAATGTGGATCTATATATTCACCTCCATATGCCTTCATGGCGTAGTGCTTAATTAGATAAGCACTGGGACAACTTTACCTTTATAATGTGCTTCTTTAAATATAATATTTTTTTTGGATGACTGAATCAAGGATTGAGGAAGTGCTTACAAGTGATTGCAGTTTAGAACCAAATGAATTTGAAATTAGGGTAATTAAATCTAATTTGACAGCATTAATATATAAACCGAAATACAGCGTCAGTTTTGTCAATATGGCATTATTTTAATTCTGTACTAACCATAAAGTGCTTATTTAATAAACCAGTGTCCTGTATGTACCAAATGAACTGTTACATGTAGGGAGGTACACAAATATAACATGAACTACTTGAAACAAAGCTATGCAATTTATGATTGAAATTTAGTGAATTTGAATATGTAGCATAATGTACCGTTTAGGAAATGATCTTAGATATTTTTCGAATATAAATAGTTCAACATACGATTTTTAAATTTGGGATGTCATTAGAATACTTAAATATGAACTTGTTTGCATAATGAAGGTATATAATGTCGTTTTTATAGAATGTGTCATACGTTTAAAGAATTCGGATAATGAAAATTCAAATAATTAAGGACGAACCAGGACAGCGATCTACCATGGACTGTAAAAAATAATATAGATGAAAAAACACTTCGGTATACTGTTGAATATACGTCTATAGAATTTGTTACTATAGAGACTGAAACGCATTTTCGTAATACCAGAAGCCAATTTTAATAAAGCTGGAAGTTATTATTTAAAAATATTATGAATAATTGAGATATTGTAGTAACCCTAGCGCAATATTTCGAGTAGGTATATGATAATTGAGCCGGTCACGGTAGCCGAGCAATCTAAGGCATGCACTGTCTTCGCTCGCTCGGAAGTCGGGATCGTGGGTTCGAATCCCAGGCATGGCATGGATGTTTGTGTGCGTTTTCTCTGTTTTTGTGTACAGGTAAAGGCCTTGCGACGAGCTGATCACCCGCCCAAGGAGTTCTACCGAATGTGTAAGATCTAGAAGAACCGAAGTGAACGGAGAAGTTCATGGAGGTAGACCTAGGCACACTGGGGCTGTAGTGCCAAGGAAAAAAAAATGATAGTTGTAATTAAGAAAT